ATCAGGTTACTTTAACTCTGAGTTTGTTTCCTCACCTATAAATGTGAATCATACCAGTAGGTTATTATAAGGATCAAATAACAATACCATGTGATCTATAAAGGGTTGTACCTTGTGAGGGCTTTTGTCAAGGGGCAGAGTCAGCTGGTGAACCCAAGAGGCCACATTCAGGAATCTACCTCTCTTTGCCCTGTACCACACTGCCTCTGCTCTGCTTGTTTATGGACACTGCCTCACTCAGGATCCTTTTCCGCTGTCAGTCCCGTTCCCTCGCCAGCCCGGAAGCCGCCCTCTCCCTCCCCACCCCTTTGAGGGCTGATTTACTGATCGCTGGTTGATAACCACCTCCCCAGAGAGCAGCCTGGAGCCACTGCACTTCCAGTCTCTTGGGCCTTGTGATTGCTGTTCAGAGTTCCCTCCTTGCCTTCCTGCCTGGGCCAACCCAGTGCTGCGCCACTAGAAGAGTTCTCAGACATACTGCCACGCCCATGCCTCTGCTGTGTGTGAAACTGAAGATTTACAGGCCCATGAGTTCTCTCAAAATGCTAGGGTCTCCCAGGTAACTCAGGGAATACGAGTAACAGCACCAACCCCCACAACATGTTCTCTCCTTTCCCCAAGGAAGGAGCCATAGAATCCTACAAGAAGAATGTGTCCTGACTTGCTCCCATGTGCCCAGCAGACCTTATACATTCACTAACTGACTCATCCCCACCCCCACCCCACCATGTGCTCCCAGAGGCCTTTCCTACCCCCATCATCCTATCCCCTGCTCCCAGGGCTCTTCATGTCTAATTCCATCTACCTAGTGCCCTTCTCTCCATTTCATAGACTGGGAAACTGAGGCCCAGGGAGGGTAAGTGTATCATGCTTGGTTGTAGTGAGTCAGCAGCGGAGCAGAGCTGGGGTTAGAACTTAGGTCTCCTGACTTCCAGTCTGAGGTTCTCTCCACTGTCCTAGAGAGTCCTTATTTCCATCCCAGATTTGTTTCCTGAGTCTTGCTATCTTCTCTCCTGAGGTTGAACACACTTATTCCCACAAATAAGATGAAAATACTTTTATTTGAACCAAAGGCAACCTCATAGAATAAAACCATTTCCCTCTCAGGGGAAGCTGGGGCCTGAGAGGAAGCTGGGACCAAGCCCTGGGTCCTATGCAGGTCCCACACCACCAGCATTCCTTTTTGCTTCCCAATGGGGGAATCTCCCCATCCCCAGTTTGATTTTTGAGGCTTTTGAACCAGTGTTTGAAAGGTCAGGCTGAGAGTTAAGGGGTTTTCAGACCAGGGTGCAGTCTTGCAGTATATATACTGTGAAGTGAAATGGAGAAAATGGGCTAGTGGTGATGGTGCTTGAGTAGAGCAAGGGATATTTGGGTATCTGGGTATGTCTAAAACAGGCTGTCCTCTCCCAGGTGGCAGGGACCTGGTTGTGAGAGAGAGTCAGGGAAAGGAAGTCACATAGTGGCCAGCAAAAGTCCCTCATGGCCAAGAGGAAGTAGCCAATGAGAGGAGAACCTTTGCCACAGCAGTATAAATAATCACAGGGTTTCCGGAAGTTCTGTTCTGTACCAGAACTCAGAAGAGAGTTCTTTACTCTGAAGCACTGTGAACTACAAAGGGGACAAGGGTAATAATGGTTGGAGCTGGGACTCCTCACCCCCCCCCCCCACTATAATACCCAGTAGCTCATTTCATACTCTGAACAATTCTAACACAATAGGCAAGATTTCCCCCACTTTACAGATGAGAAAATTGAGGCTCAGGAAACTTAATGTGTTGCCCAAGATCATACATGGACTAGTTGGTTGGAACTGTGATTAGAATACCTGGCCAGTGTGACTCCAGCATGTGTTCTCTGTGATAGAGCTTTAATAGCACTGTGTTCTCTATCCAAGAGTCTGGAAGCCCTTGAAATTCTTCAGAGGTGTGTGCCATGCTCTCAAAAAAGGCACCAAAGACTAAGGGGAAAAATCAAGTTTTTGTTTTACTCTTCTATTCATCCCTCTTGGCTGGGCTTGATCTGCCTCACCCCACCGGTGGTCTTAAGAGAAGATGCTGATGTCTGAGAGCCACACCCTTTCCCTTACTAATCTCCCATATTCCCCTGCACTGAATTGCCAGCCTATGTATTTGTGGCCAAATAGGGTTTACTGTGCTTCCAAAAAAATAGTGGGGTGAGTTCTCTCTCCTTTCCCATCCCTAGGGCACCCTGGATTTCAACAGGGCAGCTGTTTAGAGAATTGTACTCATTACTCAGCAGGTTTCTTATTGTACCTTTTGGGTTGTACTCAGTAGCCAAGATGCTGGGTTTGCAGCTAAACTGTGCAGCAGGCAGGGCTGGCCCTGAGTTGGGCGAGGCTTCACCCATGGGTACATCTCAGAGTGACCTGGGACAGTGCCCTGTGCCAGAACTCCTCTCCAGCTACTTGGTGGGAGGGGTCCATATCTGGCAGAGGATCTGCGGGTAGATCCCTGCACTTGTACATTGTCCTTTTGTGTCTATAGTGCCTGGAGGAAAAACAAAAGTAGCTAATACTTATTGAACGTTTATTATGATTAGTCACTGTTCTAAATGCTTTAATGTGTTACCTTATTCAGGGGTGTCCAACCTATTGGTGTCTCTGGGCCACACTGGAAGAAGAGTTGTCTTGGGCCACACATTAAATATACAAACACTAATGAAAACTGATGAGCAAAAAAAAGGGTTTTAAGTAATTTTATGATTTTGTATCAGGCCACAGTCATAGCCATCCTGAGCCACATGTGGCCTGTGGACCACAGGTTGGACACCCCTGCTTTATATAATCCTCATAATAACCCAGTGAGGTAGGTATTATTTTATTCCCACTTTACACATAAGAAAACTGAGGCCCACTAATCACTAACTAATAGAGAAGTAATTTGTCCAGGGTCACACAGCTAGGAAATAACAGAACTAGGATTTGATCTTTGTCGGTCTGGTACCAGAATTTTTGTGCTTTGCATATTTACACATTGTAGTGCCAGCCTCCTTACACCTGAGCATCTCTGCTTGATCTCTCTAATTGTGTTATCTGTCTCTCTGAGGTCTGTCTTGATGGTATTGCGAGGTGGTGTCAGGTTAAGAGAAGAGAAGTGGCATTTCTCTCTATATGCCCCCATTCTTTCTTCCCAATGGGTAGAGGCCTCCCTAACCATGAGTGTCCCTCTCCTCTGTTCCTAGGTCATTATATCCAGAGGGGCCCAGAAGGGGAAGGAGGCAGTGCCTCCACTGCAGCAACTGCACTCACGATGCAAAGCATCAAGTGTGTCGTGGTGGGCGATGGGGCTGTAGGCAAGACATGCCTGCTCATCTGCTACACAACTAACGCCTTCCCCAAGGAATACATCCCCACAGTGTTCGACAATTACAGCGCCCAGAGCGCAGTTGATGGGCGCACAGTGAACCTGAACCTGTGGGACACAGCGGGCCAGGAGGAGTACGACCGCCTCCGCACACTCTCCTACCCTCAGACCAACGTCTTTGTCATCTGTTTCTCCATTGCCAGTCCACCCTCTTATGAGAATGTGCGGCACAAGTGGCATCCAGAGGTGTGCCACCACTGCCCAGATGTGCCCATTCTCCTAGTGGGCACCAAGAAGGACCTGAGAGCCCAGCCTGACACCCTGCGGCGCCTCAAGGAGCAGGGCCAAGCACCCATCACACCGCAGCAGGGCCAGGCACTGGCCAAGCAGATCCATGCTGTGCGCTACCTCGAGTGCTCGGCCCTGCAGCAGGACGGCGTCAAGGAAGTGTTTGCTGAGGCTGTCCGGGCTGTGCTCAACCCCACACCGATCAAGCGTGGGCGGTCCTGCATCCTCTTGTGACCCTGGCACTTAGCTTGCAGGCTGCCCCTGCCCCCCTACCAGTTGTGCCTTGGCGCCTTGTCTGCCCCCAGCTGTGCCTTGAGGACTAATTCTGGCACCCCTTGCCAGGGGGCTCCCTGAATGCCTGTTTCTCCTTAAGGAGGCCCACAGGGAAAGGGGCTTTGGGTCCTTCTCCAATCTGCTTGGGAACACCAGGTATTCTTGAGAGCTCACCCAGGCCAAGGATGGACCCCTCCCCAAGAAGCCATCCCAGTGCCCTGTTCCCTCCAGCTTTCCACACAGATGTCGCTGCCTATCTATTGTGGTGCCTTCTCTCAGGTTAGGAGCTCTCAGCCATCCTTAACCTCTCCCTTGCTGCTCTTCAAATTGCTCCCCACCTCAAGATACTCTCTCCCCCAACGGAGCCACAAAATCCTGAGAAGATGAATGTCCCCTAACTTGCTCCCATGTACCCAGGCCTTATGCATTGCTGACTGACTCAGCCCCTCCACCCAGGCTCCTACCCCCATCAGCATCAATAAAACCTCCTGTCTCCAGTGGCCCCGACTCCTCCTCCCTGTGTGCTGGACATTGGGGGTTGGGCAGGAGACAGGCATGGGTTAGGGCTCCCCAGAGACTGGGAGCCTTTTGTTTACTGCAAGAGGGGACAGGAGACAATAAGCTTCTTTGTGGTCTCCTCTACCCCCCAATTTCCCTAACAAAGCTCTGGGCTCTCTTGGAGGGGCCAGTCTTGCTCTGGGGCCCAGCCACAGATTCTGTAGTGGACTGGGATGCAAAGCATGAGGAAAAGACTTCCTGATCTGGGGCTCAGAAAGGGGAAGGTTAAGAACTGTCAGCCTGCAGACAGGTGCTGTCAGTGGTCATGCACCTGAGCTGTACCCTTATACCCCCAAGAGGAAAGATCTTAGTCAGTAGGGGCTGGAACTCCAGTCTTTGCATCCACCCAAGACCCCCAAGTATATCAGCTTCCAGGCCAGGAGTCACTTCTGTTCACCAAAATTGGGGCTTAGACCATCTGTAGGAGACTCCAGCCTACAGAGAGATTGGGGTGCCATGTGGAATCATAACCTGCCATGGACTTATTCCCTCCATCCTGGAGCTTGTCCCTCACCTCAGTTCATTAAATAAACAGACGAGCCCCAAGACAAGCAAGCCTCGCCCAGACTGTTGGCCAAAAAAAATTTTTTTTTATTTTCCTTTAAAATAGAATGTACAATCAAAAGAGTTCAGGGCCTGGGATAGTACAGAGGTTGGTGGGGGGCACTAGTTGGGGGATGGGAATCTGTGCTTGACTCTTCCACCCCACACTTTTGCCAAGGAAGAGTCTGTAAGTCAAAGATTTTCATAAGGAAAGAGAAGTATGTGCCGTGCTAGTGTTTTCTCTGGAGCAGCTCAACTTTCAGGTACAGACCACCTCCTCCATAAGGTGGTGTCAGAAGCACACACTGGCAGAGCCCTTGGAAATCATACCTGCCCACCCCCCATCATCAGAGATGAAGTCAGGACTAGACCATCTGGGCAACCTTAGTAGGGAACTGTGGCCATAGGCCTGGATGTGCAGAGTAGATTATTAGAAACATTGATCAAGTGAATGGCCACGTGAAGAGAATGACTGTGGTTTTCAGGTGGCAGCCACTGCTCAGTGGTCCCTGACCTCAAAGAGAGGTGGCTATGTTAAGGCCAAGAACCGGATGGTGGTTATGAACCTCAGGACTTTTTTTTAGCACCAGATGGTGGAGCTCTCCTGCCAGCTCAGTTTCTTGGGGCCTCTCTGGTAAGGGTGATGCTACTTAAAGGTTCCTGTGCCTTCACGTGGGTTGGGAAGAAAGAGGTGCTGTAGGGCTGGGTAAAGCCATGTCCTATGCCCTCTTCCTTCTCCCCTTTCCCAGCTTCAGTAGGGCCCAGAGAGGACACAGGAGGTGGGAAAGGCCAGAGTGGTATTTCGTTTCTAGTTTCTAGGCAGTGCCCCTGACCCCCACCCAAGCAGGAGAAGGGTTTAGAATCGCTTTTCCTCAGGCTGGGAGGTAATGAGAAGCTCCTTGTTCCCGAAGTCCCACCAGGCTGTCATGTGGAATGCCATGTTGGTTAGGACAACAGTGTACTCCAGGATGGCAAAGATGGTGTACACTGTTGTGAAGACACAAAGAAGGTTATGGTGAGTCTCCTGCCCCCACCTTCTTCACACCCCGGGGCCTCTTGGTAAATCATCAGCACTACATCACTACACAGGGAATACACCACGATACTGCACATTTCTAGAAAAGTTCACAACTGTCCCATAGTCACTGACCATTTATGGATTCTAGCCTAGCCTCACCTCCAGTCTCACAATACATGTTGTGCCGAAAGTAGACGAACAGCGCCGAGAAGAAGGAGACGAAGTTGATGATGAAGAGCCGCTGTTTCCAGTTGTAGGACTTGTGATCCTATAGGATGGGCTGTCTGATCACTTTGCAGTGTACTGGGTATGTTTCGGTAGCCTCCCCTCTTAGCCCCAACTCCTAAGAGCTAGTCTCCCCTCCCTTAGTCATGAAAAGGGGCACTGGCAGGGGCAACAGGAAGGATGTGCATGTTCACATCCCTGTATTTGGAGTATAATGGAGCCAAGGAGCAGTAGTGCCCCTGCCCCTCCCACTTCAGGGGTAAGGAATATGAAAGTTACTTGGAGTCAGCCAACCAACCCAATGCCTCCAGATACTGTGGGGAGAAAAAAAGGTGTATGTGTGGCCATGGAGGCCAACTGGAGTGATTACAGACCACAGATCCTGACATATCTTCCCAACCTGCTGCAGCCTGGTGCTGCCCCTCATTCTGCCTCCACTTGGAGCCTCCATCTCCTCTATTCTCATCTCCCATACTACCCAAACACAGCCCTAGATTCTGACCAATCAAGCACCCTCCCCTTGTCCCCAAGTCCCAGCCCTGGCCAGGGTTCCAATAACTCCAGTTCCCACCTCACCGTTAACTGCATCCAGAGAACAGTTCTTGATTTTCCTCTGGGCCACCTGGAGACCCAGGTCTACCCTAGGGTAGACCTACCTCCTGACTTACTGTGTGCTTCTTGGTCAGCCGCCAGATAATGCAGGTGAGGAGCATGTGACTGAGGGATGTGGCAATGAACACAATGAAAGCATTTTCATGGACAGCTGGAGGGAGAGAGGAGGGTTGGAAGTGCACATTGCAGGAAGCACCCAAGCCCTGTGAGCAAAGGGCAGGGGCGTCTCCTCCCCGAACCCTTCCCCACTCTCCTTCCCTCCTCTGGGCACCCACTGAAGTCCTCAGAAGAGGAGACATAGGTGAGCACTAGCAGCGCGAGGTTCTCGATGACGTTGAGGCTGAAGTTGAGGCAGCAAAGCAGTCGGTAGCTAGGACACGAGGAGGTGCAGCTGAGGTAGTGGTTCCAGTAGGCGAAGGCCACCAAGAAGCGGGGCGCGGAGTGCAGGCCGATGCAGAAGCGCCACACGTAGCGCTGGGGCACCTCCCCACCGATGGCCGAGCTCACGGAAGGCAGGTAATTGGGCACCTAGAGAATTGTGACCCTTCTGGACGCTGGCCCTTGCCAGGCCCACCCACAAGGAGATCCTTCTCTCCATCTAATCAACCTGGCCCTCAGAAGGTTGTGCCCAGCCCCTTCCCTCTAGGAAGGCCTCCTTCAGGCACCCCCAGAGCTCTCCTTGGAGACCTCCCCTTACAGGTCCCGGCTCCCCAGTGTTCTTGGTTCTCATTCCCCAGTCAGACTGGCATTTGTGCAGGGATATATGTGACCTTCTCCATCTCCCTACACATGGAACCTACACATGGCTGGGAAAGCTGTAGACAAGTTCAGAGACTCTGGGAGACAGTAGCAGAAGGCCATGCGAGAGGTTTCATGAGCCCCGGACCCCTGATTCAGTCCCATGGCAGGGATGACTCAGATATCCTCTAAGCTTCCTTGGGGCAGTGCTGGATTCACTGCCCAACTGGGCTGCTCCTTTGACTGCTCCCAGCACCACTTGTTTTTCTGGGCAGGTGTGCCAAGGTGGTAGACGGCACTGTGTGGCGCAGGGTGAGCTGAGTCAGAAGGGTGGGTGCTCCTAACCTGTGGCAGTTACCCTGTTCTTACACATCTCTCATCCGTCTTCCTCAAAGATTGGTTTCCTCATTCCTTAAGGAATCGGAGTGTCATTCTTTCAAGTTGAGGAAGGAGGAGAACATAATACACAATGGCAAGAATTGCTTCGTTGCTTGTATGGGAGGGTGACAGGATAGGGGTTGAGTCAACGTTAGTTTTGATGGGGGCAAGAAAGCCAGGAGGAGGATCTATTAGACTGTAGGGCCTAGAGCTGTTTCTCAAACTTGAATATGCATACAACTTACTGGGGATTGTGTGAGAGTGACGAAGGTCTGGAATCTGAGAATCTGTATTTCTAAAAGATTCTAGGACTGTGGAAGCTACCAGTCTGTTGTCCATACTTTTCATGGACTTTTTCAGACTTTCAACAGGGCCAGGGCAGTGCCAGAGCCACAGAGGAATGGCCCTGTGTGATTATGGTGGGATCAGTCTTCAGAGATGCAGTTCTATAAGATCCCTTCCTTTTTCCCAATGGAGACATTGAATGGATCTCAAAGCATATAAGTAGGTAAGAAATGATGGAGGCACCTCACAGGGCAGGGGTGGGTCTGGAGAAGCACCAGACAGGGGCTTCACAGCCTTCACAGAAAAGGAGATGGATTCCTTCCCACCAGCACTGTCAGAGGAAATTAAGTGCAAAACTCTCAGAGAGAAGGTGCTGCTGTTAAGGCCATGGCTTGAGATACCATAGCTTGAGAATAGGCTCAGATATTCACTTTGAATATTCAGTAAAGAAGCAACATGGAGGCTTTAGAGATACACAAATGTGGGTCTGCAACCCAGCTCTGCCTTTATTAGTGGGGTAACTAAGCAAGCCACTTCACCTCTCTGAGCTTCCATTTCCTCATTGATAAAATAGGGATACGACTACCTACCTTGCAGGGTGACTGTGAATACTAAATATAATGTATGCAAAGCATCTGCAGTATCTGGCACACAATGGGTACAAGGGACAGCCTTCAGAAGACAAACTTCCCTGAAAAGCCTGCAAATAGGTGGTGAGTGACTATGTGGCTATTGAACATGGGATGGCCTACATATGAGTGAGAGGTGGGAATCATATCTTCACCAGACACTTCTGAGACCTCTAAGTCTCCTTACTTGACTTTGCCTCCCTGAGTTGGCCCTTTGAATAGGGTGAGTGGGAGTATTGCCTCCTCTTCATAGATTATTAGTTCTGAAAACTCCTGCCACAATTTCAGCTATTTAAGGGGAATAAGGCCGGCCTCTAAGACTTGGATGGGAGAGCCCAGAGCATTTAAGGGCCCAGATCCCTGATCAATGCTGGGAAACAGATAAAGAACAGAGATGGCACAGAGTTGGGGGGATGCCTCGGGAGGGAGAGAATTAGGGCCCTGTGACTGCCAGTCCTATTCTAACAAGCTCCATCCTAGATTAGGGGTGAGTGCAGAGTTCTAAGGGCAAAGATCTCTCTCATCATACACACACACACACACACATACACACACACAATCAGGAACAGACACCCAAACACACACCCCATTCCAAGCGCTCAAGTTCCCCACTCACCAACTATCCCAGCAACAAGCAACATTAGGAGCTGTCAGAAACCAGGTACACAGTTCACCTCAAACCTCACCATGAGCCCAGAGCTAAGGGTACTGAGAGATAGGAACATAACCTCATTTCCCAAAAATAGAAACCCCCTGGCCTGGAGGACATGGTTCAGTGGATCTGTCTCAGGGCAGCAGATCAGAAATTCACATGATATAAAAGGAGGGGGCCCAAAAAATTCCCTGTCATAGCACCTCGGATATCACCATTAAAGATTCCCTCCTTTGGCCTCAAATAAAAGTTCCCTGAAATTATGGATGACTTTCCTATTTACCTTAGTGTTCCCTGCCCTTAGCCAACTGTACAAAAACTTCCACTCCTGTCAATTCCACTTGCTATTCTTTAGGATCCACCCCCTCCTGTTTATCCTTACAGTCTCCATCTTAGCTCTGGTCTCCCCAGTAGCATGAACTATTGTCCTAGCCTCCTCACTGGTCTCCCTACCCTTGTCCCCTACTCTGCTTTCAGGAGGCAGATTGATTTTTTTAAACCACAAATGCGATCATGTCCCTTTCCTGCTTAAAATCTTTCCAAAGCTTTGATTGCTGTTTGGATAAAATCAAAGTGGTCAGCCCAGCATTCACAAAGATTCTTCTTCACATCAACAATGCCCTCTCCCCCAGGAAGGAAGTCTTCTCCAATGTCTAAGCTGGGTTATGTGCTTCCTCTGGGCCTGCCATCCCTGCCCTCCCTGTATCACAACAGGAGTCCTGTCTTACTGCGTAGTGACTGTCTGTGTGTAGGAGAATCTCTTGTATGAGTGAGATGCTAAGAGCAAGTCCATGTTCACTTCCATGCCCCTGGCACAGAACCTGGGTCCTCAGCAAAGGCTTGGTGGACTGCTCTTAGAAGCAGAAAATCCACCTAGCTTTGTAGCTGGCAGAGCCCTGAATGAACACAGGGAGGCCAGAGAGAGAAACCAAGCTAGAAGATTCCAGGGCAGGGCTGGGATACTCTTAGGTCAGGCTCCCAGTCCAGGCTAGAGCTATCTGCTACTTCTAGCTCCTGGCCTCATCTTATCTCCTCAGTTTTGGCTTCCGTTCCAGTCTAGCCTTTCTTTAGCCTCCTTCTCTACCTCCTCATCTCTCTGACCTATTCCCCCTCTCCCCTCTGCTCCCTTGCACTCCCTATAATCCTCTTCTACTCTGGGAGGACTGTGACTGAACTCTGAGTCTCTCCCACAAACTCCCCCTAACTCTGACTTGCTTCCACCATCCTTTTATCCCTTTCCCCTCTCTCTGACCCTCCACCTTCACTCCTACTCACTGATTTTGCCCTTATCGCCATTTTTGGACCTGGCCCTGACCCAGGTGCTGGGGAGCCTGGCACTCACCCCACAGTCAGTAGCCACCGTGTACTCAAAGTGGAACACCAGGGACCAGATGATGCAGAAGAAGAAGCCGAACACGGGGAAAGTGATGACCCACCAGAGCATGGCCGTGAAGCGAAGCCGGAAAACAGTCCCATCAGGGTCCAAGGGCTGGAAGGCTGCAGAGAACATCCTGTAGGAAGTGGTGCCTAGGCAGGGCAAGGGACACAACTTAGGTCCTGGTGGGTGCTTGGGCCTGGGAAAGTGGGGCCTTTTCCAGAGATGGTTACTCAGGGTACAGAAAAGAGCCAGAGTAGAAAGAGAAGAAAGAGTAGAAACAGCATGAGGAAAAAGGGAAAATAGTTCAGAAGAAAAGGAGATGCAGAGAGATGGGGCAAGAGCAGCAGAGATAGGCAGGGTCAGCTCTTAGGAATCTCCTTGGCACACTGGTCCTGTATGGCCACCTTTTGAAGAGTCTGGAGAATAGAGGTTCTTAGTGACCTGGACATGAAAGCTCTGCTGGCCCACCTCGTTCTCCCTACCCTCATACCCACTCAGGAGAAGGGTCAGAGCTGGAAGGGCTATTATTCCCATTCCAAGAAGGGGAGAATGAGGTTCAGAACTATGCCGGGATCCATCATTGGGACTAAGGCCTCTTGCCACCTAACAGCTTCAGGATCCAATCAAGGTTTTCTTCAGGTCAAAGAACCTAGACAAAGGACCCTAACTTAGACTGATCCAAGCCCTCCCACTGACCCTGTCTGACCACATTCCTGCTCTTCGCCCAAGTTCATCAAGGAACAGTGGGCGTTCCCCAGAACCTACTTCAGTGGGGCCACAGGCTGCCAGCCATCACACCCCCAGGCTCAGAATGACCCAAGCCTCAGGCCAGCACTATACCCTGATCCCAAGATACCAGGGTCTCTCTGAGGCCCACACCTGTATATCCTTTCTCTCTGAGAAGACCATGTCATCCAATCCAAGGTTTACAGGAATCTGAAGATCATGGGAACCTTCTCCACTCAGCTGGGGCCTGTTGAGCTGGGCCAGAACCAAGCCAGACAGACCCAGATCCAGACCCAGGGAGCTGGGCTTCTTCTGCTCCCTTCTCTCTCTAGGCAAAGAACTCCCTTTCCGCCCCCTACTGTCCTGACCACCATGACCCCTCAAGCTGGGCTCCCTTCTTGGGGGTCAGAAAAAGATGACTTTGTATTTAAAGGCCAAGGACCAAATTTCCCCTTGGGACTCATACCTCCCTCCATTAAGGGAACCCTAGTCCACTAGTCCAGCTCAGCATCAGGGAATAGGATAGGGGACAAGGAGGCAAAATGAGCAACACTCACACTGGGTGCTGAAGGATCCGGAGCTTGGGTCGAGGGCTCTAGCCAGACTGAGATTGTTCTAAGACTAGAGGGTCCCACCCCCAGCTCCCCCAAGGCCTGCCCTCCCGCCCACAGAGTGCCCAGATCTCCACGCTTGCCCAGGCACACAGCCTTCCTAGGACCAAAAGGCCATGTCATAAATTCTGGAACACTATGCAAAGGTAAGAAGTGATAGTGGCTAAGGTCAGCCCACAACAGCTTCCTTGCCAGGGATGGGGGTGGGGACCTTTCTGAGAGTTGTGTCTATGGATACAGGCAGATTTCTAGAAAGGGAAACACTGAAAACAGAATAGGATCTTGCCCCCTTTTTTTGGAGCAGGACAGGGCATGTTTGTCGGGCCCCACTAGAGAGCTAGCTAATCTTAGGACAAATGATTCATGATCCAAAAGAGATCTAGACAGGCCTGAATCTGAGCTATCAGTGTCCAGCCTGGACCTGTACAGGAACAGCTAATGGCAGCTCAGGCTGCATTAACAGAGGCGTAACAGCCAATAATAGGAATGGAACAGTCCTACTTTCACCTATACTGCCCAGGCTATAGGAAGTCCTATGCCCAGATCATGCCCTAGCATTGACAGAACAGTGACCAAATAGACCCAGGCTAGGGACACATGCCCTAGGGTGAGAACTGCCTGAAAGAACTAGATCTGTGCTACCTAAGAGTAGACTCGGGGAGCCCTATCTCTGCAGGGCTGGCTGGAAAGAGTAGCCCTAAGGCTCCCAAGACAGAGATTCATGGGAAGAGAGGTGTATGCTCACTATAACAAAGAGCTTGCTAAATGCTAACTACTAAACCTCTTTGGAATAGGCTACTCAGGGAGAAAGAAAACTCCACATCACCAGAAATGTGCAAGCCAAAGGTAAAGTCATCCAATTACAGATGCGCTAATCTGAGGTTACTTCTTTGGTTACTTCTTTTATTACTAGGGTTGGCCATTCCTGGGAAAGTCAGGGCGAAAACTTCAGAGCATATATAGAAATCCCCAGGTGGATCCAACATGGTAGTTCCAGGGAGTGGGAACAAAATACCCCCAGGGTCACTAGGCCTAGTCCTGGTCCTGCCCAGAGGGGCCAGATACCGCTCCTACAACTACGCCCTATGCCCTAGCTACATAACCAGTATTCCCAGAATGGGTCACAGATATGCCAGATATGCTGAGGTTATTGATCCCATTAGCCCTCAGAGCCAGCTATAAGGGGCACAGCAAACAGCCTACATTTAACTCCATATGCTGTACAAATATTATGATTTTTTGTATAGACTATGGCTACAGTATACCATGCCTTCCATTTTCCAGAGAACTGGGCTGGGGGCTCCTATTCCCTTATTCAACAAAGTCTGATTCTGATGTAGTGCTCACCTTCAAGGACCTCCCAATCTGGTGGGGAAGACACACAAACATAAGGAGATAACACTATGTGAGAGGACACAGGGTACTGAGGGTACCTAGAAGAGGGAGTAATTAAATTTGCCCCCAGGAAGCTTAAGAAGGCTTTTTGGAGGAGGAGACACATCAGCAGAGCGTTGCAGGGTGAAGAGGAGTTGGCCAGGAGAATAGAAATATTTTATGTATTATCTAAGGTGAAAACTAGGTCATACATCCTTTCTAATCCTCCTCCTTAGTTTACCTGGTCACCCTCTTTCTTCCAGTCCTGTTCTTTCTGATTGCTCCCAGCCTGGGCTTCATCAGACTGGCTGCACACAGCTTGGCCCATGACTCCCCACTGACAAATCAAAAAGGGAAAACTTCAAGTCCTATGAACGAAAGAAGTACCAGACTCCCAGCCAGACTCAACTGCTAGTCACAGGCCTTTTTCTGGAGCAAGTACTTTGTATAGGCAGAGGCGAAGCTCAGCTGACTGGGGGCCTTCAGAGCTCTTTGAGGCTAATGCAAAACTCTATATCCAGATTCTTCCACTTTTCTATCTGAGCATGTAGGTAAATTCCTCTCCTGCTCTGTCTGCCAATCTGGCCATTTCCTTTTCCTCCTCTTCCTTCTGCTCCTCATCCTTCACATTTCCCAAACCACTTTCCTATCCTCTACCTGGAACTCTATACTATCCCTGAGGAGAAGGAAGACAGGAATTATGAATCCCATTTTAGAAATGGGGGGATTGAGGCCCACTATTGGTGTCTCAGACAATATAGAATCAGTGGATAAACTAGGAATATAACAGAAGTCAATGCAGGTCTCACCTCCTTTACTCCAACATTCTACAAAGAACACTCACATCTTTCTTCCTGGCCCAGCACCCCATACCACTGTCTGGGGGATACATGGCCATCTGTGGAACCTCAGAGGGCATGGGACCTACCCCAGAACACACACTCATAATCAGATCCCCATCCAGACAGGCACAAATACAGTCTCTCTCATATATTAATACATACCCCACTCAAAGCCATTATAGTCAGGTGCCTTACAGTTACACACACAATCACATTCCCATGCAGACAGGCACAAGCCCACAGTGCCACACTAACAAGCTCCAAATGCCCTCTTAGCCCAGTCCTGTTCTCTCTCCATCCCCCCAAAAACCCCAGGTCTCCTGAATCTTCCCCTTTATGAAGGATTGTGTTCTGGGTTCCGGGGCTGCCCAACTTCAGTGACCCCAGCCCCTAGTAACCTCCATGGAAGGTAGAGGGAGACTAATCCTTGTAACTTCAATTTGTAGGCATGCCCCCAGCAGCCCAGTATGTTTGATAGACCCCACTGCTAATCCTGTTACAATAGAATCAGAATCCAAAATAGATCCCATTGAGTCTGAATATGAGGTATCATTGACCCCCAATCCCTACCCCACAGTGTGTAGCTGTAGTCTCCTCAAAGTGGAACAGCAGGGACCAGAGGATGCAGAAGAAGAAGGCGACAAGTGGACAGCAGACTGTGACCAGGGCCACCATGGTGAAGCGGAGTCGGACCAGAGTCCCATCCCGGTCCAGTGGCAGTGGGACTTGGTACATCTTGTCAAACCTGGGGATGGAGTGGCATGCTGTGAGGGCCCAAGGCAGCAAAGCTGGGACTCAGTGGGGAAGTGGGCCCTTGTGCTTAGTCCTGAGACTGAGCCATGGGTTAGCGAGTCCAAGAAGGAAGCCCCTAAGCTTGGACAGCCACTGCCCTGGACGAGGAAGAGTGACTCGGATCCCATGAGAACATTCACCCTCGATTTCAGAGGAAAGGCAGTGAACCAAACCTGTGCTGCCATGAAGCTTGAATAGATTGGGAGACCTCCTCACCCCCTATGCCTGGATTGACAGGCCTAGGACTACAGGAGCTGGCTGGTTTAATTAGTCTCTCATTTTAGGAACCAATCCTAAAGCCTCCTTGTAGACAGAATGGTCCATCTCTTCCCCAAGTCCTTGAGCCTTCAGGCTTCAGGGTCTTCCATCAGCTCTCACTGCTTTTCCCACCCGCCCAGGGTCCCTCTGCACCCTCAGTCCCTTCTCAAGCTCTGTGTATCTGCACCAGAATCCACAGCAGCAAGGCCTCCATGGAAACCAACAGAACCTCGACTCCTGGCTTGTCCTCGCTTGCTGCCTCACATGCTCTGAGGGTGAAAAGCTTTGCAGAATCAGGCCTGATGCTGGCCTGAGCTTGCTGTTTACTGGAGAAAGCTGCATAGTCAGCTTCTGGAGCCTTCCCAGTGCCCAGGGGCCTGTCCACTCTCTCTGGAGAGTAGGTAAGGGCTCCTGAGAAGTGAGAGTCCCCGCTCAGATGAGGGTACCTAAGGGCAGGAACTATAACAGCTGAATATAAACCAGCAATCCTAACCCAGCACCCACTTAGTGTATAGAAGGGGAAGTTGAGACCAAGAGAGGGACAGAAACCTGCTTAGGGTCACAGGGTCACAAACTGCAACTGCAGAAAAGTCAGATTAGAAGGTGAGTAAAAGTGGGTGCCTGTCTGTAGGAAGAAGAAGATAAAAAACAGATCCTATATGATGAGTCAGTCATCCCTGTCCTCATAGTAAAGACAGAGAAACCAAGACACAAAGAGACAGTGCTTCCTCAAAGCCATGTGCTAAGCCTGAGGGAAAGCCATCTTCAGAATTTAGGCTTCTTGTTGCCAAACTAGAGCTGCTTCCAGATACATAAAGAACTCACCCCTCTAGACTCGAGGGACTCACCAGATAAAGTCCCAACTCTTCTGGGCCCTGCCCTCAGGGCTCTCTCTTCTAGTCCCACCCTATGGAAGAACTTGACTTCCATGAGGCTGGCCTCCTGGCATTCTGGATCAGGCCAGGAAAATATGCCTCCGAATTCTCATCTATCTCCCCTACCCCTGACCTCTGCCAGGCCCTGTAAGGCAGTCTACCCCAGTTGCTCAAGCTCCTTTCTCCCTTTAGGGGCTCAGGGTCTCCTGACTATAGTGAGCCTCCCCAAACACATTCCTTGGACCATCCTCAAAAGGACTGAGTCCCTTAAGGCCCTTGAAGGGGAACACCTTCCCCATCCAGAATAAACCCAAATTCTATGGTTGTATTAACCCTTCTCCCAAAATCCCTCCCTGAAGCCAGCTGTTGTAGATCCTTCAGGAACCACTGGGGTCCCAAAACTGAACACTATATCCTCAGGGAATAAACAGACACTGCCCAAGGTAGGGGGGGCGGGGGGGGGGGATAAAATAGGTTCAAGGAACAGGCTGTTCCACTTGGAGATATGCCTGGCCTCCCTTTTTGCTGTGTGACCTTGGGCAAATCACCTAACCACTCTGGGCCTGTTTCCACAGTCATTTAACATGGGGATCATGAGTTTCAGATAAGGCCATTCCAACTTGGTCATTCAACTTCTCCAGGCCTCAGAACAGGGAGCTCACTACCTGAAAGGCAGCTGTTCAGCCCCAGTCAGCTCTAACTTCCTTATAGGTACTACTTAGTTGCAAACTGCTTTCTTATGAGCATCCATATCTTATCTCCAAAGGTGCCTAAAGATCTCAGCTTTCAGTCCAAATCCACAGTTACTAGGTGCCTTCTAAATCTAGAAACTACATATTGTTTTTTTAATCCTCACTATATTGTATTTTGCTGTGTATAATGTGCTCTGGTGTATAGTGCACACCCATGTTTTTGGCCCAAACTTTCAGGAAAAAAATTTTCATTTTAATTTTTTAATTCATTCATTTATTTATTTATTTATATTTAAAAACAAAACCAATGATGTATTCCAGGGTATTATTTTGTATACCGATATCATTATTGTTTTTTGGAGTTCCACTCCTAACGCATAAGCATAAATAAAAGAATTTAAAACACTTATCTAGATACAAAATTAGTACTACCCATGTATAATGTGCATCTTTATTTTTTCCTAAAAAATTCGGGCAAAAAAGTGCGCATTATACACAGCAAAATACAGTAATTCTATGAGGTGTGTGCTATGGCCTGTATATTTCCATTTTACAGAAGAGGAAACTGAGGCTCAGGAAGGTTAAAAACATTTGCTCAAGGTCACATGCTAATAACTGACAAGAGCTGGGATTTGAAACTATTCTATCATATTCCAAGGCCCGCCCACACCAGCATTTCCAGTCACCTAAGGAGGAAATACAGCCCAGGAGTCTCTGTGGAGTTGAGAACGGAGTGCTCAGCCTCTGCACACCCAGCCCCCAGGTAGGAGAGCAGCGGGGAAAGGGGTCAGCTCACCGAGACAGGACAGCAGCAGCTCCTGGGTAAGCACCAGGACTCTCAGAGTTAGGGACGCAGCCCTGCGTAGGCTGCACCACGTGGTCGAGCTCCAAAAGAGGGATTGCCCAGCGGTCCAGCACACCCATCCCCATACTCACCAAAGCTGCGGTTGCGGTAAGACCGCATCTGCGTGCAGGCCAGGAAGGAGGGGACTGGGCGGGTGAGGGGGTGGTGGGAACCAGGAGGGTAGCCCCGGCCCAGCAGGGGGGGTGGGGTAGGGGGTGGGGGGTGGAGAGCCGGGGAGGGAGGAAGGTACAACAGTGGGGGCGGGACCGGAGCATTTGGGGCGGCACTAGGGGAGGAAACTGCGCCCAGATCCTCTGCTGGCTACTCCCCGCTTCTGCAGACCCAGGCCCTGGGCTCTCCCCATTCATCTGGCGTCCCCGCACGCTGTGCCTCTCTAGCCCTCATCTGTCCCACTAATTCTGGCTGTGTGGGGACAGCCGGAAGAGAGCTGTTCACGGGGTTTGACCCGTTGGATAAGTCACCTTGTCACCTTACCTCTCCGCTGCGAACCATCACCTGTTGAAAGAACATAAAATTAATTCAGCAAGGCCCCAAATTCTCTTACTTCCTGAGCCCAGTCTTTTCTGCCCCCCATTCTAGCCGAATTATCCAGCTTCACCCTTCTAAAATATTAAACCAGTTTTGCCCCAACCTTGGCGACCCTTTTCCAAACTTTGTTACCCAGAGCTGATTTGGAGAATTTCAGGAGAGAAAGGAGCACCTTACAGGTATTGAGATCCAGTGAGGTCCACACCGGAAACTGCGGGCCAGAGCTGTTCCCGCCTTTGATCAGGAGAGGGCGCCCTGTCCTGTCCGACAGAGCAGAGAGAGGATCTCCAGCTTCCAGCCCTGGGTCTCTCCTCACCACAAAAGAGTTGGTCACCAGAAACTGGCCCCCACTGTTCTCTTCTCACCCTGACTGACCCATAAAGGAACCTAAGGGAGGCTCTTGGCTGCCTTTGCAAAGATCATCCTACCCCAACAGGGAAAGAGGATGAAGGGACCAGCAGTAATCCTTCCTGCAGGTGCAATGACTCTTTGTCAGAGCACCTGGAGGGGTTGCAGGACTTCTGAGCTAGTCACCACTGTGACATTTCCCCCCATTTAAATCCCCACAGTAATAACCAGCTCATTGTGAGCACTCTGTGTTCCAGGAACTTTTCTACTTTTTATGTTATCCCATTTCATCCTCATAAAATCTCCATGAGGTAGATACTATTAATGTCCCCATTTTACCAATGGAAAACAGAAGGTAAGTTACCTACTCACATAGCTAGTAAATGTCAGAACCAGGATTTCAGCCTGGCACCTGAGGTCCCTTAATCACTAGATACTGTTAATCCCACAAGGTCACCACTTTGCAGATGGGGAAACAGAGGCTCCAGTGTTCATTAACTTGCCAGACGTTATTTCATGCATTCAGTCTTGTTTATTCACTCACTCTAGGCCCTCTGTGTGGCAGGCCCTGGGCTGGGCAATGGTGGGGGACCCAGTCCCACCTGGCCCCACTCCTGAAGGCTCAAAGTCTTATTCTGAAAACTACTTTTCTTGACTTTGAATTCTTCCCACCCTGTCCTTTAAGGTCCCAGGGCAAGTGAGCAATTAATAAAACTTTACTAAAAGAACCACCTCCATTTAGTTTCAAAAACTGGATTTAGGTTTTCTACCTTGGGGCTTCGTGCCATCCTCTTTGTTTAGCTCCAACCCACAGATGCCTGCTTCTGGCCCTTGTTCCCTGTCTTGAACTCTTTCCTGGTCCCACATCTTTATTTTCCCTGTTCATCTGGCTTGGAATGCTTCTTTTCCTCCATCTCAGCAAACTCTACTCTTCCTGTAAAGGTAGTGATTAGCATGATACTTTGGTAAGTTAGAAAGGCATGTGGTAATTTCTACGGAGATCAATAAAATAATAGATAAATAATTTAATTTCCAAATTGGCACAGAAGGAAAAACAAAATAATCCAGAAGAATGCAAGAAAGGAGACTTAAATGGCCAGCAAGCACATGAAAAGATGGTCGACATCATTAGTCATTAGAGAAATGTACGTGAAAACAATAATGAGATGACATTTCATACCATCTAGGATGGGTATAATTTTTTTAAAAAGGAACATAACAGGTGTTGGCAATGATGCAGAGAAACTGGAACCCTCATATAATGGTAGTGGGAATGTAAAAGGGTACAGTCACTTTATAAAACAGTTTGACGGTTCCTCAAAAAGTTAAACTTAGTTACTATATGACCCCACAATCTACTCCGAGGTATAAAAGCATAAACACAACAGAACTGGAAACATGGGTCCACATAAACTTGTACATGAATGTTCATTGGAGCATTATTCATAGCAGCTACAAGGTGGGAACAACTCAAATGTTATTCAACTCATGAATGTATAATAAAAATATGATATATCCATAAAATGGAATATTATTTGACCATGAAAAGAAATTAACTACTGATCCATGCTACAACATGGATAAACCTTGAAAACATTAAGCTAAGTAAAAGAAGTCAGACACAAAGGCCACATATTCTATGAACCCATTTACATGAAATGTCCAGAAAAGGCAAATCCATTGAGACAAAGTAGATTAGTAGTTGCCAGGGACTGGGAGAGGGAGAGATGAGGAATGACTGATAACGGGTCTTAGGTTTTTCTTTTTTTTTTTAATTGAATTTCAGAGAGAGAGAGAGAAACATCAATTTGTCATTCCACTTATTTATGTATTGATTGGTTGATTCGTGTACAATACATTCCCTGACTGGGGATCAAACCCACAACCTTAGTGTAATGGGAAGATGCTTTAATCACATGCGATACCAGGCCAGCACATGGGTCTGGAGTTTCTATTTGGGATCATACAAATGTTCTGGAATTAGATAGTGGTGATGGTTGCACAACCTTAGGAATATACTAAAACCCTCTGAATTGTACACTTTAAATGGGTTCATTCGAAGTATATATGAATTATATGTGAATTATTCTTATATGTGAATTATATAATTTACCATGTAAATTATACCTCAAATTATTTTAAAGATTTTATTTATTTTTATATAGAGGGGAAGAGAGGGAATAAGAGAGGGAGAGAAAGATCTATGTGTGTTTGCCTCTCACATGTCCCCAACTAGGGACTTGGCCTGCAACCCAGATAGGTGTCCCAAACCAGTGACCATTTCCAGGCTGGCAATCAATTCACTGAGCCATACCAGCCAGGGCTTTATCTCAAATAAAAAAAAAATCTGGCAAAGATATGTACCTCAACAAATGGCAGTTATTACTACAAAAAAAAAAAGAACAAAGGAGAAACAACAGGAAGGACAAGTAGAAAGTATGAAATATTAGATAAAATCCTGAATATACCAGGAAATTCATTAAATACAATAAACTAAGTGCTCTACCTGAAAACCTAATTATATGCTACTTATTAGCATCACCCTTCACTATCAAGTTATAGGAAATGTGGAAGGAAATCAACATGTGCTTAGTGCTTCTAAAGTGACAAACATGCCTAGTCCAGTCCCTTGCAAATTCCATCACCTTACTTGACCTTCACAAACACCTTACAAAATAGGAATTATTGTGCCTATTTTATAGACAAGAAAACGGGGGCACAGAACAACTAAATGGCTTGTGTAAGGTCTAAAAAGTAGCAGAGCTGGCACCCTGGCTGGTGTGGCTCAGTTGGTTGGAGTGTTGTCCTGTGTACTGAAAGGCTGTGGGTTCAATACCCAGTCAGAGCACACGCTTAGACTACAATTTCAGTTCCTAGTTGATATATTCAAGAGGCAAGCATTCAATGTTTCTCTCTCACATTGATGTTTCTCTTACACCTATGTTTCTCTCTCCCTGTCTCTGTCCCTCCCTTTTCTTCTCTCTAAAATCAATAAGCATGTCCTCCGGTGAGGATAAAAAAACAAAACAAAAAAACAGATCTGGCCCATGAACTTAGCTGTTTGACTCCAACTCTGCTGCTCTTTCCAATGCACCATATAGGAAATCTAGAATTATCCCTCTGAAAGGAAGTTCCTTGCCCTCCTCTGATTCTGTAGTCCCTAGAGGTCTGGCTACTTCCTAAGCACCAATGATAGCTGCATAATGTGTATTAGAGACTGGAGGCTCCCATGACAGAGCTGGACTCTTCTTAGCTTTCTCTTGGCCAGGGCAGTGTTGAGCTGTGGACATCTCTGGGCTCCTGATGCCAATACAGGGCTTGGCTCAGCAAGCTTTTGTGAACATGCACTGAATTCTGTGTCTTTAGAGGTAAAAGAAGGAAAAAGATGATAATTGAAGGGGTATTACGAGAACTAGGCAGAGTTATAGTATGTGGGCCCAGGAAGCCCTGGCCCATGAAGAAATCCTTCCCTTGACAGAAGTCCCTGAGAATGATAAGCTTGTGGGCCACATGCCTACAGAGTACCTAACAAGAGTCCTTCTGCTTAGAAATCACTATGGTCACAGGGAACTCCTCTCTGGAGCACTCCTCATCCAATGTCTTCCCACAAGTATGAACTATTTAAGGATCCCAGATCTTGCATACCCACTAGTACTTAGGGCTAAAGATGCTCATTTCCTCACTCAAGACATATTTCTGAGGCCCTTTCCTTTTTTAAAAAAGATTTTATTTATTTTTAGAGAGAGGAAAAGGGAGAGAAACATCGATGTGAGAGAGAAACATTGGTTGCCTCTTGCACACCCCCAATGGGGGACCTGGTCTGCAACTCAGGCATGTGTCCTGACCAGGAATCAACCAGTACCTTTCACTTTGCAAGATAATGCCCAATTCACTAAGCTACACTGCTCAGAGCTAGCCCCTTTCCTTTAAAACAAAAAAAAAAATTTTTTTTTTTTTGCTGGCTGGTGTGGCTCAATTGGTTGGAGCATTGTCCCATAAACCAAAGTGTCATGGGCTTGATTCCCAATCATGGTACTCATGGCACTCGTGGCTAGGCTGCAGATTAAGCACATGTCTCACAACCAATCAATGTTTTTATCTCACATCGATGTTTCTCTCTCTCCCTTCCCCCTCTCTAAGACAATTATTTATTGATTTTCAAAGAGAAAGACATCAATTTGTTGTTCCACTCATCCGCGCACTCACTGGTTGCTTCTTGCATGCGCCCTCACTGGGGATGGATCCTGCAACCTTGGCTTACCAGGAAGACACTCCAGCCAAGTCCCTGGCCAGGGCCTCTGAGCCCCTTTTATAAGAATCATGTCAGAAAATTTAGAATGGGAATTTCTTGACATTTTAAAAGCATATAAATAATATCTGTCATACACTGATGGGTTACTGCATATTAGTTACACTCATTTAATTCTCACAACATCCCTGTGATGCAAGTACCATTACCTCCCTTTTACAGATAAGGAAACTGAGGCTCGGGGGGTTAAGAAATGTGCCCAAGTTCATACAGCTACTACATAGCTAAGCTCAGATTTAAACCCAGGATTCTCTAACTCAAATGCCCCACACTTCAACTTTTCTACTTAAGAAAATAATTTACTCATTCACATATCTAATATTTAATGTGCACACCTATACTGTGATGCCAATGTTTCAGGAGGGGAGTGAGGAAGCTAGTGTCACTGTCCAGGGAGAACTAATGACTTTCTGATGTAGAGCACAAGAAAGGGAGGTGAAGGGAAAGAAGGGATGTTTGGTTGTAGGAGTTGGGGAAAGGTGGTTAGTGTCAGCTGTTTAAACTAGCTTTGCTATTTCACCCTCTATATATTTATTTTTTCTTCCTTCAAGCATTTACTGAGTACCGACAATGTACAAATTTTCTCCTAACCATTATCTTATTTCATCTTTCTGACACCCCACTTTTTGACAAATTAATCAGTCATCTCTAATCCCTTGCTACCACTGAAAACCTACAAGGATTAAAATTCATCTACCTTTGGGCAGAGCCCATTTCAATTTTGCATTGATGCCCCAGGAGGTGGTGGTGGTGGAGTGGTAATCCTAATAGGCTTTCTGAGCACAGTTCCCTGCTATTCTGTGTAGGACTCTCAGTCACTAGGTCTAGTTTCTAAAACATGTTCAACCCTTCCTTTGTAATATCAGGCTTCTGCTCCAGGCTAGGCCTGAGGGAAAGGACACCGATCTTAAAGAAAAAACAAACAAACAAAAAAAAAAAAACCAACCACAGGCCCCAAATGGCATCACTCATTCCAAAAGTCCATGATACCAAACTATATTTAATCCCTCTCCCAGAAACATAATCTTAATCAACCAGTATGAAACTTCCTGGTCAAGCACCAGTAAGGTAAATCTGTCACATAGGTCCTCTCCATCCTCCATAGAAAGATGTAATTATATAATAAAAAAACCTTCCTCTTCTCTTACCCCAAAGAAAAGATGTCCAGGCCCCAAAATAATCCTTTCTTTTGCTAATAGCTCCCATGCCCTCCCTTCCTTGTGTAAAAATCCTTACAAACCCTCAGAGTGCCCTTACAGTTGCTAGATAGGATGCTGCCCAATTCATGAATCGCTTAATAAAGCCAATTAAATGTTTAGATTTACTCGGCTGAATTTTAACACTAAGATGAAGAAAACACAGCTCTGACCTCCAATAGCCCAGGCACAGAAGACAGGAAAGTAATGGGATACAAAGTGACAGAGGCCTGCCCAAGCATCAACCCAACTTGCTAAGAGAGATCAGCAAATGTATCCTAGAGAAGGCAGGAACATCTGAACCAGGGCGTTAAGAGTAACTAAACGACAGGTGGGAAAGAAGTCCGATGCTGAACTACTCCCTTGGGGCATTTCTGATGCTCATAATGTCTTTCTAGGGATTAAGAGAGGGAAAGGTTGTGCCCGGTCTGGCATGGGTCAGGAGACAAGAAGGCCAAGTTTTGAGGCCTCCTAGCAGCACACGCAAGCTACACGGACAGTCGGATTTCCCAGGAGGTCCCTCAGCTCCGTGCTTGGTCTGGCCAGGAAGTGATCGGAGGACCAAGGGGATGCCTTCTCCTTCACCTCCCGCGGACTGGGCAAGGTGAGGGTAGAACAGTTACCATGCCATCCTGGCGCCTTTCCTCTAATTGGCCCGAGCTGCAGCAGCTGGGGTCTCTCCGCTTCAAGGAAGAGGGCGGAGCCTCTGTATTACGTCACCACGCTTCTCCCACACCCCGCCCAATCTAGCCACTTACCAGCCCACTTCGAGGGGGGCTATGTGACGTCATAACTCTCTCCCAGCCAACCGCGGCGGCGAGAGGCGGGACTCCATGTCCCTTCCAAAACCCCTCCTTTTCCCTCCCCTAACTCCGTAAGTCCCTCCTCTTCCTCTTCTCCCCTTCTTCCGAAGACCGCCCTCACGTTCAGTTTCAAAAGACTTGTTGCCCAATGCGTAATAAGGTGGGCCTAGAGTGACGTCTTCAGCTACCAATGCACAAGCGGCAGGGGCGGAGCGTTCGGAAAGAGCCTCTGACGGTGGGCGGCGTGTGACGCAGACCGGTCCTTTGCGCGTTGCGCCCGTAGCGGCGGTCGGTATCGGTGGTGTTGACTGGGGCGACGGTTTCGTGGCGGCCGCGCGCTGCTCTCAGAGCGGCGGGTGGCGAACGGGCCTAGGCCCTTACTCCTGACACTTCCCCTCCCCCACCGCACCTCGGTAAGTCGGAAGCCGGGGTGGCGGCGGCTCGGGGCCGCAGGCTCCTCCTCCCCTTTGGGCGGGCGGTGTGCGGGGCTTCCCAGGCCCTCTCCGCGCTGAAGTCTCGCGCCCCGCGCGCACCTCTGCCCAGAGAGTGGGGGCGGGCCCGCGACCCTGCGACCCACTAGCTGGCTCTTCGAGAACTGGGAGAGAATGGCTATTCGTGGGGTATGGGCCCTGGGCCTCTCCTCGCAGCCTACGGTGAGGGAGCGTCCATCTGTCCAGTTGTACTTAATTCATTTGCCCAGCGGTTACTAGGTGGACCGGCGCCGTTTGCGGTGGCAGCGCCTTAAAACCCTGGATATGTTCTTCCAGCGCTTTCTTGACTCTTGTGTGGGATGGGCTTTATTTGCGTACAGGGGAAAGTCGCAGCTCCAGGGTTAGGGTGGGTGGTTCAGGAGTTGGTTAGTTTTTTGAAACATTTGGGAATTAAGGTAGGGTTAGTGGAGTAAATGATTATTTTCTGGTCTCCCACGTGTTTCATGTAAAGCTAATTGAGAAGGGGTTTCCGGATTATTATATAGCTAAGGACCTTAGTAATTAAGTCAGTTTACCCTAGATCACGTGCAAGTTTCAGAGGTCAAGAAATCGAGGCCCAGAGAAGGGACATTATCAGCTAGTGCCAGATCTGACTCAGTCTAGAAATTTGTCTGCTGCATCATTCTTTCTGGGTGTTCTAGTCTTTCATTATTGAGGATTTCGTTTAGAGTGATAGTGGGGGTGCGGGGGCATTGGGTAGTTAGAAGCAGATAAAATCTTCAATAGCATTCTCATTTAGTTGTTAGCAACTGTATTCACCATTATGCAGACACTTAATTAGTGGTACCCTAACCTGGACCATAAGGGCTAAACTTAAACATTGGTTAAAGAATGTCAGTAATGTTATATATTGGAAAATGAAATGGTAACCCACAAGTTACTGGCTAGTTTCTTCTTCCAAATCTAAAATTTTTATTCTCCTGGGGACTCAGAAGAAATAATTCAGTTAGTGACCCACAGCGATACTGGAATAGAAAGCAGAAAGTACAGGTGAGACTTAGAAAGGTAGGTAGCAAATTTTGTATTTTGGAACTCATAGCTTCTCTCTTGTACAAATTCAAAGTTTTGTAGTAGAAGGTAGTGAGAAAATTAAACTCTGTTTTGGGAGAAGAAAGTAACTGGAAAGAAGAAAAGACCAGTGAGCATTTTCTGTGACAGTCTTAAAAATTAAGAAACTCTTGTTAACTAAGCGACAGATGGTATGTTTACTTGGTGGAAGAAGTTAGAATATTTAAAAGACAAAACTAGAAGTTGAACAGGATGGAGGGACTAGGAAATACATTGATGGAGTTATTTTTTGACTCTTCATTAAGATTTTCTGAAAATGAGTGAGTTGCCACTTCGTTTTGTTTACATCAATCATATCTTCACTTTGCCCTTGTTTAGATGACAGAGCAGAAGTGAAAAATAGTAGTGTATAAGAGCAGTAGAGATCAGTAGTCTAAATATTAAGATATGAATAGGGTATGTATTCTGTGACATTTTCTCAGTTCAAGCATCACCCTCTTCTGGAAAGTCTTTCCTGGCATTCCCCCCCCCCCCCCATTTTGTGTTATAAATAGCATAAATCATTTTGTGTTTTAGCTGTTTATCTTTTTATTCTGTGATAAAATACTTTTGTCTTTGTATTCAGGTTGTTTGGCACATAGTAGGCTCTGAGTAAGTGTGTTTCTTTAATGAGTAAACAAATATGGAGGAGTTAAACCTAAAAATAGTCTAAAGAGGCTAGATGCTTGTGTGCTTCTGAAATAGGCCCAGATAGGAGGAACCACACCATTCTTATATTATGTGGTACTTTGGTACCTGACTTCATTTATGTCCACTAGCTCCTGGATAATAGAACTTTCTGGAAACCAAATTTACAGCTAAGGGAAAAAATTGGTTGTATTATATTGTGATAATATTTTTACGGTGGCAGTTAACCTGGGAAGTAAGGGGTAGTAATACTGGTGTTTCATTTCCAATAAAGATTACATTTTTTCAATATTTTATTTATTTATTTTTAGACAGAAGAAAGGGGAGGGAGAAAGAAGGGGAGAGAAACATCAAAGTTTGGTTGCCCCTCACACACCCCACATGGGGGGACCTTGCCCACCACCCAGGCATGTGCCCTGACTGGGAATCGAACCAGCTATACTTTGGTTCGAAGACCAGTGCTCAATCCATTGAGCCACACCAGCTGGGGCTAAAGAGCACATTTTTAATTATGGAATTTGTTGAAAGGTTAGAGGACTAAGAAAATCAGGTTAAATAATAGGTATTAGAGGCAAGGTATGTAAGCAGCATTTTTTTTTTTATGTATTCTTTGTGTTTGGAATTGAACCTAAGTACAGTAAGCCCTCACTTAGTGTCATTGATAAGTTCTTGGAACTGTAAGGACACTAAGTATAATGAACCAGTTTGACCATAGGCTAATTGATATAAACAAGAGTTAAGTTCTTACAGCATTTCATCAACATTATAACAAAGTGATGTTGAAAATGACATTACTTAAGGATCTGCCGTACTTGACATAGTATGTGTCTAGAGCAGGGTTTCTCAGCCTTGGCACTGTTGACATTTTGAGCTAGATAATTCCTTGTTGTAGAGACACTATCTTCTGTTATTGTAGGATGTTTAGCAGCATTCCTGGCCTCTACCCATTAGATACCCATAATACCTTCTCCCCAAGTTGTAACAATCCACATGTCTCCAGACATTGTCAAATGTCCGTTGGGAGCAAAATTGCCTCTAATTGAGACCACTGCTCTAGAGAAAATATTCCCAATATTTCAGTAAAATCATACCATTATGTTGTCTGGTGTATGCTTGTAAAGTCAGCTAATAAGTTGCGTTTTGTTAAAATTGCCCTTGAAAAACCCTTAAATTGAGATGCTGAAAAAAGAAGAGTCCTCGATTCATTTTCTTTAATTTCCCTTTAGTTTCTGTGGTAGCCTCTCATTCTCTGACATAGGAAAAATCAAGTCTTTGTTTGAAAGGAGATAGACCATTGGGTAAATAAAGCAACATCTATTTTTATGTAAGAAGGTACAGAGGCTTGTAGTTGAATTGAGGTAATGAAATTTGATGCTTTGTGGTTCCATTATCTTTTCATTTCACTGATAACTTGCTGTCACATAAATAAGCACTGATCAGAGGTTTTGACCCACTGTACTGACACTGAGAATTTAATAAATACTGATAATTTGCCTTATTGAAGAGCTTGTACTTAATTCATTGTAGTGTGGAACAAACTCAAATTTTCAGTGGAGAAATAAAAATTATATCTTAAAATAAAGCTCTAATTATCTAAGTTTGATACTAAGAGTGAGTTTGAGCTGGATGTAGTAGGGTAGATTGTAAGATTGTGGAACTGGAGTCAGGCTATAGCAATAGTCTAGGATAGCAGCTCTCACAGTTTGAGGTCTCAGGATTCCTTTATGCTTTTAAGTCTCCAAAGAGCTTTTAATTATGTGGGTTATATCTACTGGTATTTACTGTACTGAAAATATTATACATTTTCAAAAATTATTGCTTAAAATAATAAATTTGTCAATATGATTTTATTAAAAATACTAAAAATTTAGTGACAAAGGTGGCATTTTTCTTGCACTTTTGCACATCTCATTAGTGTCTGACTTTATAATAAAGACCACTGGATTTGTAGATCTTCTTTTGCAATCAGATGGTTAATACGTTGTTTTGGTTGAAGTATGTGAACAAAATCCAGCCTCATACAGATATTGGAAAATGGAGGAGGGCTTTCTCTGCCCTCCCCAAGCCCTGCCAGTTTAGATGACTTAAATAATTGAAGGGAGGAGTTTTTAAATAGCCTTTTCAAATAATTGTAGATATTCTTTGACACTACACTCAAACCTTTTTTGTTTTTTTAAAAAGATTTTAAGGGTGGAGGAAGGGAGAAAGAGAGGGAGAGAAACATAGATTAGTTGCCTCTCACATACCCCCAGCCAGAGACCAGGCCCATAACCCAGGCATGTGTCCTGCCTAGAATCGAACTAGCAACCCTTTGGTTCACTGGTTGACACTCAGTGCACTGAGCCACACCAGCCAGGGCACTCAAACCTTTCCAAAAGTTTGTTGCAGTATGGAATCTGAAACCATATCATTGAACTTTTGTACTGTGTTACATTAAAATTCACTTATTCCTGCACTTTGAAGGGATATTTATCCATGCATGATTTTATGATTTTATACGTTGGTCATTTAGAAATCATTAGTTTACGGAATTATACAACTCTTCCAACTGTTGACAAATTTAATTTTACAGTCAATATTTTCACTCTTAAGATAAGTCTTTCAGAGTTGGGAAGCTAACAAGTTCTTGGTGGTGGACATCAAGGTGGAAGCTAACATGTTCTTGGTGGTGG